GACCCTATCGGTGGGGAGGGGTGGGCAGGGAGAAAACTGCAGCAATGACTGAATGGAAATCCAAAACCTCTGTAATGAATGAATGAATGAATGAATAAATAAATAAAAATTTACAAATTCTGAGCGAACCCAGGCTCAGAACAAATGGAAACTGTGTAACAGCTTTCTTTTGTTTCCGATTTCAGGTGGAAACCCACTGTTAATATTATCAATTACTCTTTAACATGGGATTATATAGGGAGCTCTGGTGACATAGTCTGTGGGGGGAGAGGGGGCACTGCTTTCATAATCTAAATGTGGCCTGTTCCAATCTACCAGCAGCTCTGAAAGAAAAAGGCAATCTCCTCCCATGTGATTTTACATCCTCTGAAAATCCACTGGAGGATCTGAATCAGTTCTGCCTCGAGACAGCAAGTAGAGTTCAAAGGCATTATTATTATTATTATTATTATTATTATTATTATTATATGTTTATGTTAAAAACTAGAAGATACAAGAAAGTATTAAGGAGAAAAGGAAAAATCCCCCATAGTTCTATCCCCCAAATATTATTATTTCTTTTCACTGAAGTAAGTCCAAAACACAAATAAATAAAGCTCAAAGTTAAAACTGATCATTCACAAATGACAAAATTAACTGTAAATCTCTTTAAAAGCAGAGCAGCCTTTCCCAGCTATCAATTTAAGGTGAAAACAAAGCTGCTATTTGTCCCTAGGCTGTTCCCAACAGAGTATGATATATGGGTGAAGCTTGTCAAAGTCAAGGCCACAGAAACTCCCAAAATAAATGTTTCATGAGCCAGAGTAGTCACAACACAGGCCCTCAGCAACAATGGAGAAAGCAAAATGTTTGAAGTCCCATTTACAAAACTAGCACGACTGTAAGGGTCATACCAGACTAAAAGACTTCTATGGGCCACTTCAGTGGGAAAAAAGAAAAATTTACACACCCGGTTGCAAGGTGGGTAGGCTCAGCCTTCTGACTTCAAACTATTTACTGAGTCTGACCTCTGGAACTTGGTGTGCCCCTGCTTGACAGCTCCTTTCCCACCTGCCCTTCTCCCTCTTTCTTTACTACTGCCCTGGAAACTTTCTGTGTTTAAAATGGGCTAGTTCCACACAATGGGATATGATTCAGTCATAAAAAGGAGGGAAATACTGATTCACAGTAGACCATGGATGAAATCTGAAACAGGCCAAATAAAAAAATCAGACATAAAAGATCATACACTGTGTGTTTTCATGTCTAAGAAACATCTAGAATAAAATGTATAGAGATTGGAAACTCAATGTCATTAACTAAGAGGATGGGAAGAGAATGAGAAGTGTTTGTTAACAGGCAGGGGTTTCTTTTCGAAAGGACACAAATTTTCCAAAATTTGATTGTACTGATAGTTGTACAACCCTGGAATACACTAAAAAAAATACTTAACTGTATACTCTAAATGGGTACATTATGTAATATGTGAATTATATCTCAATATTATTTTTAAAAAGTTTTATTTACAATCTTAAGTAAAAAAAAAAAAAAGCATGAGTAAAGAAAAGTTTCCATCCTATTTCCCTTCCTAAGTGTGGAGTAGACCACCAGCAAGTTCTCAAGGCTTTTAAAGTGATGACCCAGTTATATGTGTGTGTGTGTGTACATTTATCATATATATATGTTCCATTAACTTCTGTACTTCTGTTTAACAACTATAGTATCCAGGATATGCTCAGTCTTGTCAACAAAAGAGTAGTGAGCTTAATTCTGTCCAACTCAATACCTGATCCTCATATTGTTCATAATCCTATGCCTTTTCCTAGGTAGTTCCTTCCACTTATAATGCCTTTCTTGCCACATCCTTAAATGTTCAAATCGTCATGTCTTTAAGGCCTGGCTCAAATGTGACTTCCTCCATGAAACCTTTCTGGACACGCCCATCAAAACAAATCTCATCTTTCTCTCACTATCCCTGGGGGCCGAACTTCCCCATTGCCATTTAGGGTTTTCTATCCAGTGTCATACTTGTTCTTTTGACATTAGAATGGTTTCTGTATACTTGCTCAATAAGTAAATTACTATAGCCAATAATTCACAGCTCATGCTGAGTATTTAACTTTCACTTGGGTCAACTTTCATTTCTAAAGTATCCATAGGTCATTTAGACCCAAGAATGAGTCTAAATGGGACACAAATTTTCCAAATTTTTATTGTACTGATAGTTAAAATAGTTGAGCTAAAGAATGACAACTCTCATCCAAATGTATACTTTCTTAACCAAAGGAAATCCTAATTTGCCATGTGTACATAAATAATATGAAATACACTTCCAAAGAAAAACACTGGAATAAGGTCATAACTAACCTGTCAAGGTAATTTACAAAACAATACTCACCTGGATTATAGAAATGCTGGAATATTTGTTTAAAAACCCATTTCATTACTTTTTAGCAACACTACATATTTTTTTCCTAGCAAAATCTCAAAGTTCTCTCATCAAGCCCTACCAATTCTTCTTCCATCATATTTCTAATTATCTACTTTTCCATTTTTCCTGTCACATACCTCATCCAGACCCCCATTGTCTTAGTGACCAACCAATCTAAGAAGTAGCCTAAGTCCTCCCCTCCTTACTGTTTCTTCCTTCAGTAATACTGAGCAACTCATCCTGCAGACCCATTTTGCCAGTAGGAACTGAGAAGCATGTATAGAAACATGAAATGAGGCCTACTCTACAGACACCTTCTATCCAGGAGCTCGAGGAACTCCCTTGATTTGTCACACATTCAGCAGCATATCCATCTGAGGTTACAATTAGCCTTGGGCATTCTAAGACATAATCCATGTGCAATCTTCTTCACACACCATTCTCAATCTCTCACTTTTACTCTTCTTCATCTTATTTGATAAGGCTTTCCTTTAACTGTTCATAGATAAATTATGTGCCAACTCCATCCAGTTTCTCTCCAACCTGCCCTTTCACCTGTAGTCAAGACTACCTGCTTATCTGGAAGTGACTCACTGGGAAGTACAATCCTCCCCACATTCTCTTTTAATTTATATTACCATCAGTCTCAAGTCCCTTCTTGTGTATGCATTGGGAATCATCTAATCACATTTAACTTTTTGGTTTTTGTTTGTAACTGGTCTTATTTCTTTTGTATTTGCTTCCCTGATTACAGTGTCTCCTAACTTGGGGTGAATATAAAAACATAAAACCCCAGCCTGGGACCTACCCTCAGACAGCTCCTCAAGAGTTCAGGGTGAGAGTCAGACATCTTAATTTCTTAAAAGCTCCACTGGTAATTTGGATGCACACTCCAATCTCAGAATCACTCATTTATTACAATGCTCCCCATCCAGCAGACATTCAGAGCTTATTAATTCATGGCCCTAAAGCTCATAAATAACTCTTCTCTAAATTGCCTAAGCAGAGATCAAACCCTAGACTACACTAACTCAGTTCCAAGTGCAACATATGGTTTTAAGATTTCATTTCCTGGAGGACCACATGGAGGGACACTATTACCTTGTCTCTTTACATTGTTTCCCATTTGTTGAAAAATGGAGGCCTGGAATGCAGCCATGTTAACACAATACGGCACAGGAATGCATTCTGGAGTCTTAGATTAAAATGAGTAGCAAAAAGGTCAAGAACAATGTAGAGGTGGACATTCTGAACGAAGAGTATGCTTATCAAATAGACTCTCACTGAAGTAATGTGTTAGAAAGAACAGGAATAGAGTCGGTGTGATACTCCAGCCTGCCAATTTGCTGAGCTGTCCGACTGAGGGCTGCTTTCAGTGGCTGAAGTGACTTCAGAGCACCGAAGTGTTCTCATCAGATAAGTAACCCAAGCCCCACCCAGACCCACACTTCCCTCCCCACTAGCCTGACACATACTATTTACACAGCTCAGTGGGGGAGCAGTAGGAACTTTTTCCGAAGTTGTTCCTTACAGGCAGCAGCAGTCTGAGTCACCCACCAGGGTGGGAGAGGAGAGTATGTGACACCAGCCAGGGGAGTGTGGGGCAGCGGTCACCGCACCTCTCCAGCATTTCAGCGCGAGCTCCGCTTCCTCCAGTAAGCGCTTTAGTTTTTTAGTCACAAGCTGGGGTCGCAGGGGTCAGGAGAGTCATTCAGCACCTCTCCAAAACTGTGGGCTGGGCAGGGGCGCCCCTCCTGTAGGGGCTGCGGATCCCAAATTCCACAGGCCTCTCCCAGCAGCTCCATCTTGCTTCCTGCCAGGAGGAGGAGCCGCAGAAGGGCGAGTCTGGAAAGACCCCGGTGGGAGGAGGCCGTCTGACAACAGGTAATGCTAGGTGGGCATCTCCACTGCCGCGGACAGAATGAAATGCAGCCGGCTAAAGGAAAAGTCATGAATTCATGCAAAAAAGGAAGTGCCCGGTGTCTGAGTGCCAGAGGTGCGAGTACAAGTAAACGCCCACGAGGAGGGGACAGAGTGGTAAGGCAAGTGGACAATGGGGCCAGGCAGGGAGCGCTGGGGAGGGGGTGGACGAGGTAGGGGGCAGGGTGAGGGGGCGGAGGTATTACAAGGGAGAACAACGTGGGTCAAACAAGAATCGCGTATTAGAAGGAAAAGCAGGGAGTCGGTATGGGTCCCGTTAGCTCACAATCAGCCTGAGGAGGCCTAAAAAAGAGAAGAGCCCAGAGGAGTGGACATGGGGGGCGACAGCCTGCCGAGGGGAGGGGGCGATCCTTCAACTACCACTTTGTGAGCACGTAATATGAACGGTAAACTGCGCCAGGCCATGCACACAATGCACCCCGCGGATTCTTCACGACAAACCCCCATTAATATGACTGCCCCCATCTTACAGATAAGGAAACTGAGGCCTGCTCAAGGTCATACAGCGGGAAAGTCAGGATTGGAAGCCCTGATCTGGAACCCACGCGCACACCCCAGGCGGCGTGCAGACCGAGCGGAGGTGAGAGGGGTCCCGACCCAGCACCCCGGCCCGCGGAGGCCCCCGCCCCGCCCCGGGCCCGGCGCTCACCCGGACGAGGTTGCTGACGGCCGCCTGCACGGCCGCCACGGGCGCGGTGAGGTCAGGGATGGCTTTGCCGTCCACCTCGCCCTCCTCGTGCATGATCACCAGGTGCGAGATCTGCTGCGCCACCGGCTCCAGGATGCTCTCGATCGTGCGCGTGTGAAACACCGGCATCGCGGCGGCGAACGGGGCGGCGAACCGCAGGCAACAGAAAGAGGGGATCCGCGGCGTAGGGACCAGTGAGAGCTGGACTCCAGCAGCCAAGAGACTCCCGAGTGCGGGCTTCCCTCGGCGTAGCCAGCCCCACCGGCGCCCCGCCCCCTCGCGTCGCCGCGCCCAATGGCAGCGCCGCTCAGACCCGGGCCGCCACTCCTATTGGTCCACATTCCAGAAGCCGTGCCCTCGCCTCCGCGCGGCTAACGCCCCACCCCGCCCCCATTCCCAAGGGAGGGGCCTGGGATCCGGGCTGCGCCGCAGGGATTGCAACCGGATTCCCGAACCCCAGCGCCGGGCGCTCCTTATAAGGGCATGGAGGGAGCGGAGCGCGCGGCCGGCGCGGCGGGCCCCGCCCCCGGCACCGCCTCCCTCCGCGGATCTGCAGAGCCCCGCCCTCTGCAGACTCATCCGGAGGGCGTGAGGTCGAACCTTTTGGGGCCGGTGCCCCAGCAGATGCAAAGGTCTTTGGTCGGCACGCCCCTCCCCAAATTCACCCTTCACTGGCGACCCTCAAAATAATTGGAGACTTTTTCAATAAATGCATTGGGAAACTTAGGAGCTTCAATTATTTTATATATACATATATATACACATATATACATATATATATATATATACACACACACACACTTCACTGTCACTATTCACTATTAAAGTATAGCTTTCTAGATCTTTATGGATTTACTTGTACATATATAGTAAATGTGATTAAACATTTTCCTGAGCCTATTTTTTTCTCCACAATTAAAATTCTCTGCCCTTAAAGAGGGACATTATGCTTAGTAAACTAGAGGGTTATGAGGGATGTGTAGGTTGGACACTATTAAACAATTCTGCACAAATATTTTACTTGCTCCTGTGTTATGACCACCAGCTGCTCCATGGCAGGAAGATAGGTAATCTCCCAGTGTAATTTACTGCCTCTGAAAACCCGCTGGAGGGTCAGCCATGAGTTGGTTCAGACTCAGTGATAAGACAAGATACCTAAAAATGAACCAAAAATGCAAAAATACCCCCATATTACGTATTGAAAGATCTGCTAAATTGCTCAATCCTTCATGTTTGGTATAAGACATCTGAGTATCTTCCTCACCTCAGATTCTCTTTTGCTCAAGCTTCCCCATTTTTGAGGTAAAACACTTTCACTAATGCCTCCAAGCAAAAGAGCCTCAAGTCAAATAAAAATATTTCCTGAGAACTCACATTTTGCAACACTCCCAGCTTTGTGTTGTCCTTTGCAATTTTTGAAGCTATTTTTGCCTAGCAACACGTATCCAGTGTCTGCTCTGCAGCTTGCCAAATTCTGCACTTTTCTTTCTAGAAAATATCTTTACTTTTTTGTTGCTGCTTCCAGGCCCTTGTAGATAGATGATGGACTTCGTTTATTTTAAGTTAACATTTGTTTGATGCTTTCTAAGTCTAGGCACTTGATAAACTCCTAAGAAAATTAAAGTATATTCAGTATATGCCAATCTATTTCCCTCATATGAAAACTAGTAAACTAAACCTCTGAAATCTATAAAGTGGCTCATGCAGCTCATTAGATAGCTGATGTGTTGATAGCTGGAGTGTACCATCTTCTGGGAATTCCCCCAACTGCAAACTTTCATCCTGAAATGCAATTTCCTACCTGAAAGCAAAGAGGTCAAGGCTAGAAACTTCACCATCCATAGGCTGCCATCCTGACTCTGAGTAGACAGATGACTCCAAAGATACTGCTATCTCCACCCAGAGACTTAGTTGATAACTAGATACGGGTCAATGACAGTATCACTTCGTGCAGTGCTCAGGCGGTCCCAAGACAGGAAAACTGTCAGCTGACAGTCGAGGCAGGACCTACAAATATTGAGGTTCCACATCCTGATCTTTACTCCAGCATTCCATCAGACTTCTTTTCTGTAATAGAAATGCAAAGGTAAAATTATTAGGAATTAAAACTGTGACCACACAAAGGGACAAATGCTATATGGTGCCACTGTTGTAGAATGAGGCTGGCATTGGAGTGGGGGTAAGACTGAGAAAAACTGGATGAAATATGTTTATGGCATTGAAGTCTATGGGGGAGAGAATAGTCTAAAAGTATTATATTTTAGGGCATTATTTTTATCGTAGGAGTATGCAATGAGGGTTGCAGAGTGGATTATATTTGGGGGTAGGGGGTGGGGTTTGGGGAGGTGCGTAGGGGGTGGATTGTGTACCAACAAGGGAGTTTTTCTTTTGCTTTTCAAGGAGAGGAGCAAAAGGGAAGGGGGAGGGGTTTGTGCGGGGAGAAGAGTGCAACAATGAATGAATGGAATCCCAAAATCTCTGTAGATGTTCACTGAAATGAAAAATAAACAACCTAAATTAAAAAAAAAAACCAAACAAAACTGTGACCACAAAGCATTGACCACAAATGTGGTCATCAGGATTGGAGGAAGGTTCATCAACAACATGTGTTATGCTGATGACACAAACCTGCTTGCTGAAACTGAGGAGGACCTGAAGCGCTTGCTGCGAAAGGTCAAGGACTCTAGCCTTCAGTATGGATTGAAACTCAATATCAAGAAAACAAAGATTCTCACCACTGGGTCAATTGGCCGCATCATTATCGAGTGAGCTTGAGATTGTTAACAGTTTTCGTTTGCTTGGTTCCATAATCAACACTCTTGGAGCCAGCATCCAGGAATCAAGAGACAAATTGCATTTGGAAAGTTGGCTGTCAGGGACTTCTCCAGAGTACTGAAGAGCAACAATGTCAGGCTGGAAAGTAAGGTGCACCATAATCTTCATAATTGTGTGCTATGCATCAGAGAGCTGGACAATGACTACAGATGATAGAGAATTGAGGCCTTTGAGCTATGGTGCTGGATAAGAGTGTTAAATATACCATGGACTGCCAGGAGAACAAACAAGTTTGTCCTGGAGAGGGTGAAACCAGGCTGCTCCTTGGAGGCAAGGATTCTGAAGCTTTGTCTGACATACTTTAGGCATGTTACAAGAGGGACATCACGTTCGGAAGGGTGAAGGGACAGTGCAAGAGAGGAAGACCCTTGATGGGATCGATTCAGTGACTGGGGTAATGGGAGCAGGTGTGTCAGAGACAGTGAGGTTGGCACAGAGTAGAGCAGGGTTTAGGGATCTTGTACATAGGGTCACTATAAGTCACAACGACTCAACAGCACATAACTACTACAACAACAATAACCACTACCAAAGCTATTTTCTCTGCGTTTTGTTTTATGTCAATAACAGTAATGTTTGGGTGATGGAACAATATTCTTTATTTTTTTTCTAATTCCCACTCTTTGATTATATATTTGTTTGAAGTTTAAAAGAGCCTTCTATATAGTGCCTGCAATTTGGTAGCAGGATTCAGAGGCTTGATTGTTCCTTTTTTAAACTGTGATTTATCATTCCTAGAATGAACAAGTATGTCTTGAAAAAGGTGAAACCAGAGTGCTCTTTAGAGGCAAGGATGGTAAAGCTTTGATACTTTGGTTATTCCGTGGAAAGGGATATCATTCTTAAAAAGATAGAGGGTCAGTGAAAGAGAGGAAGACTCTCAATGAGATAGACTGACGCAGTGACTGCCGCTGTGCACTCAAGTGTATCAGAGATATCAGAGGTGGTGAAGATGGAACAAGATGGGACAGGATTCAGATCTGTTATTCATAGGATCGCTATGAGTCTTATTCAACTCAATAGCACCTAACAACTACCTCCAGTTTTATAATCCAAGCTATTGCTGACAGATCATATTAATGTCCCTTAAAATAGCACATTTCAGCCCATGTGCTCTGTTTCATCCCCATCCACATTTACTTCCCTCCTCCCTCACTAGCACAATCTAAAACATCCCATGGTGCCTCTTAACGCATACATACATGTTCTCCACAATCCAGGCTCAAACCAATTTTCTGCTTCCCCACGGAGACCTAAAGACAGAGAGTTCAATAGTGTAAAGAATACAAACTCAGAACCATCCAGAGTGCAAGCCATAATCTCAACTTCAAAAGTTGATTAAGATATATATAGGGCAAATTACTTTTTCCCTTTCTACTGAATTTCTTTTTTGTAGAAGTGGGATAATGCAACATCTGTAGAACTGACATAAGAAGTGATGAATGGATTTATGTAAAGCACTCAGGAGATCCTCAATTAAAGGGAGCTATTGTTTTTATTGGAGTGGTTACAAAGAGATGTAATTACAGTCTCAAAAAAAATTCATGATGAATTTTACTTTTCAGCCTTTGCTTACATTTCTTTCCCACTTGGAACACAATCTTTGTTGCTGCATTACACTCAGTCAACTATAACTCATAGCAATCTTGTGAACAATAGATTATAATCTTTCCCTACCCTATACCATCACAACCTCTGCCATGCTGAAATCCATGGCTGCAGTCACTGTGTCAATCCATCTCCTTGAGCGTCTTCCTCTCTTTCATTGACCCTCCACCTTTTCCTGCACGATGTCCTTTTCCAAAATTCTGACCTCTCCTGACAATATGCTCAAAGACTAGAAGATGAAATGTCACCATCCTTGCTTCTAAGGAGCACATTGGTAGCACTTTCACCAAGACAGTTTTGAGTCAGAACTAATTCATAGCTGACTCATTAGAGAGTTTTCAGAGGCAGATAATTGCACTGGAAGAGATAGCCCGTCCTTCTTCCATGAATCAGCTGATAGATTCAAACCATGTGCCTTTAGGATTGCAGCACATGTTCTTAACTATTGTCATAAGAAAGGGGTCGCTTGGTGGCACAGTTAAGCACTCTCTATTAACCTAATGGCTGAGGGTACAAATCCACTCAGAAGAACCTTAGAAAAAAGTCCAGATGATCAATTTCCAAAAGATTATAGTCACTGAAAACCCTATGGAATGCAATTCTACTTTAAAATACACAGGGTCACCAAGAGTTGAAAGTGACTCAGTAGCAACTGAGTTGTTGGATTAATTGGTATTAGGCAAAATTCCAATATTTCATCTTTAGTGAGCATGCCATATAATCTCCAGTACTATGGATATAG